CTGTAGGTTATGGCTATAGAGTACAGTCAAAGATGACTGAAAGGCGAAATGAAATCATCTAACCCAAATGACCCTGGAAATAAATGTCCGACATTATCTCTCATAAGGAACATAATAGCGGTGGGTCATAAAGTTGATTTTAGCACTTCTTTTAAACTCATGTACAAAATATCTTTGGGTTATACTTTATTTTTGATTACAGCTTGATTCCACACCGTATTTTTGGTACAAGTATGGAATTTTCAGCATGGATATCGGTAGCCCAAATATTGCAGGCCGACCATAGATATCAGATGTGTGTCGGCAGGGGATCGAACCTCGGACCATGTGCATGGTCGGCGAGAGTCCTAACCACTGTGCCACCGACGTACATATAATTCAGTTTGTCGAAGCCCTAGAAATACGAAGCTTCAAAACCCATTTTATGTGTACAGAAATCAATTGGTACCACTTTGAGCCTGATTTAGTAATCTAAATTTATAACCAAGGGTTATATACACATTAGTATTTTTCCATTTATCTGTGATTTGACGACTCAATTAACAGTTTGATTCATATCGATTGGATTTTCGATCTTTTATGCTCTCAACTTCCATATAGATATCATGTATGCCAAGTACATATGTCATCAAATGTGTCACGCAAACACATGACACGATTCACACGAACCACGTCGACTTATTGTTTTTTTTAAAAATTAACTCATCAAACGAACGAAAAACTGATTTATTTATGGAAAATTCCCATTAGTAAATATGGAAAATGAAAACAAATGATCCTCCTGAAAAACTCATTTCAACGAATTTAATATCAAGCTGTACAATCGTAAACATATAATATTTTAAAAATAATGTGAACTACAACAAAATATTTATCATTATAGTTTTAGTTAAAGTCAGAAAGATAGAAGAGGTTGTGTGATACATAAAATATTTCGTGGAAGGGGTCTAGAAGTAATAATAATAATAATAATAATACGAAGAGTAGTAGGCAATTGAGGTAAAACGACAAACAGTTGAATGTGAAAATAATTATAACACCAATGGAAATAATAAGGAATTGATATACATATTAATTTTTTTTCTTTCCTTCACGTTCTCCAGTGGAACATAGGGCTTCAAGCTAGTGGCTTGACGTTTCTGTAGCAGTGTTTACTTTACAAGATGGGGTTGCTAGCCTCATGCCCAACCTTTCCTCTTTACCAACATTATTTCGGGCTTAGCGAGGTAAAGGAGTGCGCCGACGGGGGATCGAACCCCGGACCACGTTCATGGTCAGCGAGCGTCCTAAGTGCTATGTCACCGACACACTATACATATTAATTAAGATCAACATAAAAATAGGGACTATGATAATTTGATGCAGACACCTTGCTTCTCTGTTTCGAAAGCTAAATCTTCAGAAACATAGATTATCAGGATATGTAATGCTTTAGTCAAGTTTTTTTGCCTTATAGGTGATCAGTGTCGACTATATGTACAGATATTGCGCCCCTTCCAGTTATTCGTAACCACACAGGACAGTGTTCTTGAATCCTTTTGGACAAAACCCGCGTCAAACGACCAACATACCTGGCTCCATATAATGACAAAAACCTTTAAGTATTGATTTGTAACCATTGGTACTTGTTGTCGGTGAATAAAAGAGATTATATAGGCTGTATGTGGAATGAATTGATTCATTACAAATGTATTTCTTATTTAATATTAACGCCTAATAACAACTTTCCAATTTTGGTTATCTCAGAAGTAATAAGTTTTACTAAAAATACGTACATATATCAGTTCACCTCATTCTGTGAAGCCAGATATATTGATCGTTCAATGAGTATCCGGTCTAAACAGGTTCAAGAACACTATTCAGAACAGTTGCAGAAAGGTAGAAGAGGCTGAACAAGACGTACTATAATTGAACAGTTTGTGAACGCTGTTCAGTCTAGCGTAATAAATCCCTCCTTCAAAATGACCTACAAAACGAAAAGTAATATGCCAAGGACATTGATCTTTAGCCTCATTTGCATTGCTGGAGCTCTAGTTGTCCAGATACAGACCGAAGCTCTTTATACAAAAAGGAATTATTCGAACACATCTATTATTATGGTAATGACCCTGTTGTTTTCAACCAATTTGTTTTTCTAGCTCATTTATTCTTTCGAAATCTCACGTGGTGCCATGTATTCTTTGTCTTTATGTGCAACTGGATTACTTCTCATTTATTAGTTGTGTCCTGTTACGTAATTCTATCACCATCATTCAGCTTCGATTTTTCAGGCTTGATCACGAGCTGACAGCAAACAAAGAGCCGTCGGAAGACCAGGGAGTACTAGACAGCTGTTTAATCATAACTTGAGATTTTTCAGCAGTACGTGGCCACCGTGGTTCGAACTCAGGACCTCGCAATTACAAGGGAAGCCCGTCGACCATACAATCAGCGGCACTCGACCCAATAAACGCGACTGCACCATTAAAGAAAATGAAATCCCTGGAAAAAGCCTCTTTGCTTGCCATCTGATCAGCCTCACCTCAGCAAATGATCTCAGCACTTTATGAGCAGTCGACAACTGACTGACTTCAGTCCTGTCTTGCTTGGTAAATTTCAGATGTGCATAGCACATGTTCATGATCAACAGATCTTGCGATAGTTTTAATTCCCGCAATTCAATGAATTTACTATATATCATGATTATCTTCCGAGTTTCTTTACACTCATCAGTTAACTTTTTGCACAAACAGAAAATCAAGCTTAAGCCTGATTTCGTTAAGAACTGACACTTTCCATAGAAACATTGAAAATCAAATGAGTGCTGCATACCTATTTCTACAATTTCGGGAATCTTTATCAGCAAATACCGATAATCCTGCAAGGGACGATAACCAGATTCATAAGATTGAGGAAAGAGCATTTCACTAATCAACTAGTAGACGCTAAACCAACAAACACTGATTTCCAAATTCCATGGTTGGTAAGCGTTCATGACAAAAAATCTAGCCGCAAAACAATCCATCAGACCTTCACAAATCAAATAGTTGAGTATCAATCAACTACTAACACATGGGGGGCTACCTCCAAGGGATTTTAATAAGAAGTGGCGATCAACCAGTTAGAACAAGGGAGCATCAGAAATGTGAAAGACAGCAATCAATAGAAATTCGAAATCAAGAACCACTGGATTCTAATCAGATTCAGATAAAATTGTGAAATGCAGGTATAGTAAGTAACCTGATAGTTCTGATTTCTTTCGTTCGCACGATAGCCATTATTGAAAAGTCTAAAACTATAACAAAACAATCGTTTGATACACCTTAGTTTACCACTTTTCTCTGGTTTACATCGCTTACTGTAGAACCCAACATCTGAATAGGAAACCAAAGAGTATTTTGACAATCAAATATAAATTACTTAATACCACCATTGATGAATTCATAAGACAATTAAACATACTCCAGCATGATACCCTGTTAGATTCAACTACCACTATCGTTATAATCGCAGGACAAAACGCATAACTGACAAGATAAAACACATTTATTTCGTAATTAACAATAAACGGTCTATAACTTCATCCAACACAGTAAAGTTTTTAGCAACGAAACAAAATAGTAACCCCGGTTAAACTGACAAATGCGTTTTTTCAGTAAACAGAAGAGAAGGCAACGTAAATCGTTATTCACTTACACTGTAAACCTGATATCAGCTCAACTCCAAATACAATCTCCATAATTTCTAAAATAATATATAGAGAAGCCTTGGTACTGACTTACCTACTTACTTACAGAATAAATGATACAGACAAAACAACTTTGATTGACTTAAACAAAAACACCAACTGTTCTTCGGGTAAAAATTACATATGTACAAATTCATATATAGAAAAGGAGGCAAAACAAATAATATTTGAAAAAGAATAAACAAAACGGCGAGAGAAAGAATAAAAAAACATTCTCACACCTAGTTGATTATTTGAGATAAATTGTTTCAATCAAATGTTTAACTTTTCCCAAACTAAAAATAAAACAATGAAGACTGAAAATGCGGACATACTGTGTATTCTCTCTCAGCTGATTACTCCTCATGCCTTCCTATTACAATTTAACGCACAGATGGTAGAAATTGAGTATGAATATTGAAATCCTGTTATACGTACGTACCAAAAGTTCATTTGTACTGCTACCGTTTGTTCCTCTATCAACTTCTCAAATATATAATATTTCGGATCTTACAACAATGACAGATATCAACAGGATTGTTTATACATGAGCGTATTTGTGCATGTGTGTGTGTGTGCGATTTCCCAATCATCTCGATAACACACCGCTAATGTCGTGATATTTTGGTACAAATGCCGTAAAAGTAATGAAAACGAGATTATTTTTATGAAATAAAAACAGACAAAAAATTCAATGAGCAAATTAGTTATAAGTATAAAAGCAGTCAAACAGTAGAAATCGATATAGAAAGAATTTAGACAAAGGCAAGGCAATAACAATAACACAATGGGACACCACACGTGAGATCAATTGAAGAATAATGAAATAAAACAAAACAAAAAAAGGATTATTAAACAAATGCTTATCATGATTGTTGTCAAGTGAAGAAAAAAACAAAAGGGGAAAAGGAGAGAGGATTAAGTAACACGATTACTACTGTGAGTAACGATCACTTATAGACGGACAAATCGTATATATTTCATTCAGTGCTCAAAAGAAAGAACAAATATCGCATTAGTTGATGCACAATAAATGCACTGAGTACGGATTGTCAAAACTGAACGCATTTAGATGTATTGAATACCATTAATAATATTACTTAGATATGTATAATCTACTACTATTGTCAGTAGTATGCAGTGAAATGAAGAAAAAAGGGTCGGTAGAATAGTGAAAAAGTTAAAGTAAAAATCATATGCAAAAAGTGAAAAAACAAACAAACAGCTGATAACAATTCAAAAGCAAATGAAAATCACTTAGAGTAATTGGTCATCTTTCTTCCTCTCCTTGTCTTTAAACACGTTGACCAGGTATATGACCATGAAATGATAACGGTGATGATAATGATGACGACTTTCCATTATTTCGCAGGACAATACAACCAATGAATATAAGAATTAAGGCTAATGCAGAGCCCACAGCTATACAGACAACTTCACCGCTTGTTAAACGCATTGGTCTTTCACCGCCTACAAAGTGTGAGGAAGAGGAAAGCAAATAGTGTTTAATGTTAAGAGGTTAGATTAGTCTTAAAACTGTAAACATTTACATTGCCGACAAACCAAATGATTCAGAGGAAATGCATGAAATAAGAGTCATGCACACTACTATCATGACATACCATTTCATTATCATCTAACTGCATTGTGGACAAATTGTTTTGTAAAGGGAAGAGGTGAATCAGATGGAACCCAGCATACGTATTTACGACCACTTTAGAAAGGAGATCAGATTTCAAGATTACAAGATAAGACACAAAGAATATCAATGGTGTCATCTAGTTGATGGGTCCCAGACAGGACGAAATACACATCCTGAATTCCACTGTTAACCACTATTAACTGAATGACAGAATGTCAAACTTCAAACATGGTCGAAACATCCCAACTAGGAGCCGGGTATGTCAACAGGAACCAAGCACTACGGTACAGTCATAACTTGAGCAAATCGAGCGAAGTCACATGGAGAGGTAATAAATTTTAGGAGTAAGCTCAAACTTCGTAAATTTTACAATAACCAATTCGTTTCAATACGCTCATATAGCCAGAAATGATATAATTCCCTTAAGATTGAAGAATCAAGATAAGGTCTTCATGAAATTTTTCCCACTCATTGAAAAACTAAAAACAAGAACAATAAATGTAACGGAAAAATCTGAGCTAATTTTCGAAATTTGGCGGATTTGTTTCAACTTCAAATAAAGTATAATTATATTTTAATAGTTTACACACAATGATAAGTTTTGTTATTGGTAATATTTCGAGCAAAATTACCAATAACAACACTTATCATTGTGTGTAAACTAATAAAATATAATTACACTTTATTTGATCTAATCCACAATGCTCAAACTTTTTACTGATATTGTTTCAACTTCTTCAAACACCTAAATGTAATCAAAATATATAGATTGCAGAACGGGGTTAGAACACATTTTTATCACGTTCATTATGTGTTATTCACATAAGAGCTATAAATAATAAAAGTCAAGAATTATATAAGTAATATAATTACTTATATTATTACGTTTAGTTATTATATAACAGGATCGACTATTTATAGGATAATTAGACAAATGCCTTGGAGAAAAATGAGGGTTGTCCACAATATGGGAAGAAACAATGTTTAACTAGAAATAGTAAGTCAGTATTATAAGAAATTAAAAAATTCGCAAATTACAAAATAAATCTGATAAGATTATTATCCTGTGAGTCGGTGGCACAGCAGTAGAATGCTCGCCAACCACGCAGGTGGTCCGGGGTTCGACCCCCAGCCAACGCACTTCTTTACCTCACTGCGCCAGTAAAAAGACTGGTAAAAAGGGAAGGTTGGGCATGAGGCTAGCAACCCCATGCTATAAAAATAAACACTACTGCTACCGGAACTTCAAAGCTGTAGCTTACAGCCCTATTTCCAACTGGGAACGTAAAGGAGTAAAAAATTGTTATCCTGATACATTTATTGACCTCTAGAAATAAAATAATTTTCTAGGATCTTCTTTCTAGTCTTCCACCTTGAATTGCTTTAGCTCCTCAAATCAAATCCTTAAAAAACCAACACTTGAAAATTCATCTTATGGTACCTGAGGATTGACTACAGGATGAAGTTTTCTAGGGTTCTAGTGAGAACTAGTGACCAGTGGGGTTCCAATAAGTCAAATTTGAGGATATTGGAGGTGATACCGTAAGTAGCGAATCGACAGAAGCTAGAATTCATGGGTCTTCAGATTTCCATCCCAATGGTTAAGTGATCAACAGGTCGACCCTGTAATCTAAGGGTTCTAAGTTCGAACCCTGGTGACGAACTTATGGGTGAGGAGTCAGAAACAAGAATGGAACAGCTACCCAGTACTCGCTGGTTCCCAAATGACTTTCCAGCTGATGTCATTCCGCGATTTAACTTAAAACCAGTCAAATCCCTGCATACCAAACACTTGTAAAAATAGCATATATCAAATTATGAACAAACAGGGACAGCTTTCACTGGTGAGTATCTGTAAAGAAGAGGAATACTGTTCATTGTGTTTTCTGAGGGTAGGTGGTTTAATTGTCAGGCCTTCATTGTCCTCCTTCATGAGAAGTCAATGGATTTATGCTTATACGCCTCATTGACTGTTACCGTCCATTTCACTAAGGTATATCGTATCGAATTCATGGAGAATAGGAAAAGCGATAGGTTGAAATATTTTTTTAAAGTGCGCCAGTGAAAATAATATCAATTGAGGACATTTTCGATTGATTAGAACAAAAATAGAAAAGGAGAAGTTCAAAAGAATATGTGTTTAGTGGAAGAGGGTATTTCGGTAGCCCACAGTTCAAGTAAGCCGTCAGTAACAGTACTTGTTGTCAAGCATTTGTAATCTTGATGAAAATGTATGACCCCCTCTAAGATCGAAACGTATGTCAGTCAGTTTGTAGCCACGCACTACTACTACTAGTAATACTAGTCTATTTCAACTTTCACCTCTGTTCATTTATGGCCCAGCAGCATACTCTTAACTTGATTTTCAAGTCCATTGTCAATCAACGTCAAAGACTACAACCGTTAACAATTTCCGCTTCTTACTCTCCCTGAAATTCTGAAGCTAATTCAGTTCCACTGTGGAACTATATACTACGAGTTGGCAGAATTTACAATTCATAGGTTATCAGATTTCGTCCCAAGAGGCTGAATGGTCAACGAGTTCGACTCGTAACCTGAAGGTTCTGGGTGTTATCATTCTCACACATTTTGGTAGTGACTGCTAATCTTGTATATATGGTATATTATCATTCCCACACATTTTGTTACTGACTGTCAACTCGCACATATGGTATATTATCATCTCTCACGCACTTTGTTATTGGCTATTAAGATAAATTATTTCAAATGCTGTTAGCTGTCCATATTGTTGTAAAATGTATAAATACCATGGCTTTCTTTATCGTTGTTGCACTTCAATACACAGTCACAGTCCAGCCTTTGTCTTTTGATATTTGCGTGCTTTACTAAATCGGAAGGTACGACAAGCAGATAGGCAGATTAGTTCAGGCGCAGACAGAACAAGGTGAAAACGTCTTCATTCAATTCCCTACAGTTATAACAAATTGGCGACGGGGTTTTACCTTAATTCATTGCAGTTATAGCAAGCAAACGACGACAGTTTTTATTCTGTTCAGCGCAGCTATATAACATTTTTGACTGTGTTAATTACAACCCAATTACAATGTCTATCTCTCTGGACGATCTCAAATCTATCTTGCAGCAGCAGCAAGTTCAGAATGAAGCAGCTCAACTAAAATTAATCGAAGCTCTCACTCAGAAGCTGTCCATTCAAGTTCCATCAACATCTCATTCTGACAAATATGAAAGCATCTCAAATTCCATCAGTGAGTTCAACTACGACCCAATATCTGGTCTCGTATTTGATGCATGGTTCAATCGTTACGAAGACGTCTTCCGTATTGAATGCTACATGTTTGATGATGCTGCCAAAGTCCGATTGTTACTAAGAAAACTTGGTACTGTTGAGCACAACAGATATGTTAACTTCATTCTGCCCAAGAACCCACGTGAGTTATCATTCGATGAGACAGTCACCGTTTTATCACAAATCTTTGGTGAACAGTCATCCATGTTTAATATTCGGTATCAATGTTTTCAGTTGACAAAAATGCCTTCCGATGATTATGTGACTTACGCTGGCAAAGTGAACAAGGAATGTGAAAGGTTCAAACCACACGAAATGACATCAGATCAGTTCAAGTGTTTGATTTTTATTTGTGGGTTGAAGAACCCAGAAGATACTGACATACGAACTCGACTTCTGTCACTCGTGGAACAAGACCCGAAAATGACTTTACAAATGGTGACAGCAGAATGCCTACGTTTAATCAACTTGAAGCACGATACTGCTATGGTGGAGTGCAAACGACAGTCGTCTGAATTTGGTTCGATTAACACAGTGAAAAGTCCTCCGATCACCGTTAAGCACACAGAACGTCAGTCTCAAAATTCAGCTAAACCTCCTTCAGTGTGCTGGCACTGTGGTTCGTGGCATTTTGTCAAGTTCTGTCCTTTCAAGAAACATAAATGCCGTAATTGTCACCGTTTTGGACATAAGGAGGGTTACTGTACACCGCAGAAAAATTCTTCGGTGAGGAACAGAAGTAGTCGTTTCAAGCCGAAACAATCTCCTCGAGTACAGACCGTTTTCACAACTTCCAAAGTCGAGTTCGCCAGCAAACGTAAGTACATAACACTAGATATTAACGGCAAACGTATTCGTCTTCAGTTGGATACGGCATCAGATATCACCGTAATTTCCCGAACTACGTGGCGCAAACTTGGTTGCCCACAGATTCTGCCGACCGAGCATGTCGCCAAGAATGTCTCTGGAGATATACTGAAACTCGTGGGTGAGATAAATTGCCAGGTTCAGTTTGGTGAGCATCACTTCAATGGTGTATGTTACGTTACAAACTACCATGATTTGAATTTGCTTGGTCTTGACTGGTTAGACAAGCTCCATATCTTTAATGTACCATTAAATTCAGTATGCTCTAATGTTTCGTCTTCACCACACAACGTTGTTCCCGGAGATGTATCTGATCAATCTCTCTTGCAACGCCGTCGTCAAAAGCACGCTTCTGTCTTCCAGGACAAACTTGGTTGCTGCAAACTGTTTGGCATCCAGCATATTCGTAGCCCCCCGTATCATCCCCAATCGAATGGACAGACTGAACGTTTCGTCGACACCTTTAAGCGTGCTTATGCAAAAGCGAAGGGGGAGGGAACAACAGAAGAAATTTTGGATAAATTCTTGCTGCATTATCGTACGAATGAAAAAGGACAGTTATGTGTCAGACACACAGATCACGCTCTATCCAGTACCACGCAAAGGTCAACTCGACAAAGAAGAGCTCCGAAACCTTTTCAAATAGATCCAAAAAGCAAGTCCTACACTCTTTACGGGGGAGGTGATAGGATC